TCATCCACATCATCAACTACACAAACACACACAGCACCCACTACAAAACACACACACCATCCACCACATAAACACACAAACTGCATCGACTACACAAATAAACACACACACATCATTAACTACACAAACACACACTCTGCATTCACTATACACACACACTACATCCACTACACACACAATCTGCAGTCACTATGTACACACGAATTCCACTACACAAACACACACTCTACATTTATTACAAACTCTGCATTCACTATACACACAAACACTACATCCACTACACAAACACACTGCACTCACTATGCACACAATACATCCACTACACAAACACACACTCTGCATTCACTATACACGCGATATATCTACTGTACACACACTCTATCCACTACACAAACATACAATCTGCATCCACTATAAACACTGCATCCACTTTACTCATGCACTTTGCATCCACTATACACATTCTACAGCCACTATATACACACCAAATTCAGTACACACACACTTCATACTTATGGTAAACTCAGGATGGGCCCTGTGGGTTGATCTGGGGGCGGGTCATGTGGGCGGACTTGGGGGCCCAGACCTTGGGCAGCGTCAGGGGCCCCAAAATTTCTGGCGGCAGCCCTGCTCACAACTCCCTCACCTCCACCCTGTCCCATTTACCTTTGCCCTGTCATGCTCTCCCTGTCACTTGTACCCCTTTACTCACCTTGTCACAGTCACCAGCTGAAGATATTCATCAAACCCACAGTCAGGAAACATAGCTTTGCCATAAACACAATGCACAGAGGCCACAGGCAGACCCCCATACACACAACACACTTCAAGCAGCTACCCCATGCACATACGGTCCCAGACAAAAACGCAAACATGCTCACAGAGACATACATTCACACACACAAGGATACTCTCTGTCAGGCACACACTCTCAGGCACATACACAGGTAGACAGTGCATTAATGTGTATATGTGTGCATGTATTGGAACTCTTTTTTTTCAATTTGGTGTTAGTGGGGCTTCATTTTTGAGTTTTGCCTAAGCCCTTATAAATTCTAGAGCTGCCTCTGACCCCAATAATAGCTCTCAATCCTTTTTGATGAGGTCAAATAAAATGGATATCATTTCTTTGTGAAAAAAAACAACAGCCAGAAAAGAAGAAGTGAATAGAAAATGTTGCGTCCTAGAAATGATAATTAAAACCATCAAGCTGATTGGAAAAAGTGGCCTAAGATATTGGGCAACAGCTGAAGCAGCATATACGTTAAAGCAGCATCAAAGTGCAACAAGTAGAGTTGAGCGAACCGAACATTAGGTTTTTTGGACCCCGGACCCGAACACGGACATATCACTGTATGTTCCGGTTGGAGTTCGGTGTTCGGCGATTTAATGGCGCATTTTCAAAGGCTGCAGGGCAGCCAATCAACAAGCGTTTGACTCGTGTGCCCTTAGAAGCCATCACAGCTATGCCTACTAATGGCATGGCTGTGATTGGCCAGTGCAGCATGTGACCCAGCCTCTATATATAAGCTGGAGTCGCGTAGCGCCGCACGCACATGCGGTCTTATTAGTGTAGGGAGAGGATGCTGCCGCTGATAGGGACAGCTTAGGAAAGAATTCTGCAAACTAGTACATTAGTAGGGTGGGGTGCACTTCATATCTGAGAGTCAAATAGAAGCTTCAAATAGCGTGGTTACATCGGAGTTTTAAAAAGTTAATTTTTTTGGGTGCTAAATAGTACATTAGTGGGGTAGTACATTAGTTGGGTGCACTTCATATCTGAGAGTCAAATAGAATCATCAAATTCTGCTGTCACATTGCAGTTCTAAAACTTAAAAAATTTTGGGTCCTAAACTGCTAAATAGTATTTTAGTGGGGTGCACTTCATATCTGAGAGTCAAATCGAAGCATTAAATAGTGTGCTTACAGCGCAGTTGTAAAAATTGTACATTTCTGGGTGCTAATCTGCTTAATAGTACATTTTGGGGCCTGCGGTGCACTTCATATCTAAGAGTCAAATCGAAGCGTCTAATAGTGTGCTTACAGCGCAGTTGTAAAAATTCTAATTTTATGGGTGCTAATCTGCTAAATAGGACATTTTGTGGTCTGCTCTTCATATCTGATAGTCAAATCGAAGCGTCAAATAGTGTGCTCAAATAGTGTGCGCAGTTGTAAACATTCTAATTGTTTTGCTGCTAATCTGCTAAATAGTACATTTGCGGCCTGCGGTGCACTTCATATCTGAGAGTCAAATAGAAGCGTCTAATAGTGCGCTTACTGCGCAGTTGTAAAAATTCTAATTGTTCTGCTGCTAATCTGCTGCTTACATTGGAGTTTTAAAAAGTCAATTTTTTTTGTGCTAAATAGTATATTTGGGGTGTTCACGTCATATCTGAGAGTCAAATCGAAGCGTAACTTTCATTCGAATTTACTACATCTGTCACTTGTAATATTGTTTCACACCTACAACACTTGTTACACAGATCTAAGTGATAGAAAACAGATTGATATTTTCTACACTAGAAACTACCAGATAACAAGCTGCTATATTTAAACCAGTTATCAATAGCTAAGAGGTACTTCAACAATATTGTAATTCTGGGGCAATACCCTCACAAGTCAAACTGAGAGGTCAGTTTATAGGGAAAACTGTTGCCTGGATACAATTCTAAAACAATTTCCATATGTAATTTGCAGAATTTACATGCTGGAAAAACACAGGTGCCAACTGCTGTGGCTTTCTGCAGTGTGCATACCAGCAAGGAGGGCAGGGTTGAGGAGTGGGTGGAAGATGATGTGGAGGATGATGAGGTCCTTGACCCCACATGGAATCAAGGTCATGCGAGTGACGTGTGCAGTTTGGAGGAAGAGGCGCTGGTCGCACAGAGGCAGTGGCGGATCCAGGGGGGGGGGCAACGGGGCAATTGCCCCCCCCGAGAATTCCGCCGGTCTCCCTCCCCTGCCAGCCCTGCAATGTGCCTGTGGACCGGAAGGGAGATCACAGATCTCCCTCCCCGGTCCGCAGGCACTGTGCTGGCGACCGGCGGCGGAGGGAGGGCGTGAGAGGGAGGACCCGGAGCTCAGGCTGCAGCTCCTCCGGGTCCTCCTCTCGTGAGATTTGAAGCGTTGCCGCGGTTACCACGGCAACGCTCCAAATCTCGCGAGAGTGAACTCTAGCCCGGGAGCGCGGGCTAGAGTTCACTGTAACCACTGGGACCACCAGGGAATCACCACTGGGACCACCAGGGATCGAAATATGTCCCCCCTCCTCCCCAGTAAAGGTAAGAAGGGAGGGGGGACATAGGATAATATTTATTTTAATTAAATAAAAAAAAAATATATATATATAATAAAAAAAATCCACACACACACATATATATTGCCCCCAATACTGCCCCCCCAATACACACAAACTGCCCCCCAGTCACACAAACTGCCCCCCCAGTCACACAAACTGCCCCCCCCCCATTCACACACAAACCGCCCCCATTCACACAAACTCCCCCCCATACACAAACTGCCCCCCATTCACACAAACTCCCTCCCATACACACAAACTGCCCAACAAAAACCCCCCACACACAAACCCCCCAACACACACAACCCCCCCAAACACACAACCCCCCAAAAAAAAAAAAACACCCCCCACACACACAAACCCCCCCACACACAAACCCCCCACACACAAACCCCCCCCACACACAAACCCCCCCAACACAAACCCCCCCACACACAAACCCCCCCACACAAAAACCCCCCAACACAAACCCCCCCCAACACAAACCCCCCAACACACAACCCCCCCAACACACAACACCCCCAACACACAACCCCCCCCCAACACACACAACACCCCAAAAAAACACCCCCCCAACACACACACACACCCCCCAACACACACACACCCCCCCACAACACACACACCCCCCCCACACACACACACCCCCCAACAAACCCCCCAACACACACCCCCCCCAACACACAACCACACACCTGCCCCACATACATACTGCCCCACATATACACACTGCCCCCCATACACACACAAACTGCCCGCCATACACACACAAACTGCCCCCACATACACACATTGCTCCCCCATACACACACACATTGCTTCCCCATACACACACACACACACTGCCCACCCATACACACACACACTGCCCCCCCATACACACACACTGCCCCCCATACACACACACTGCCCCCCATACACACACATACACTGAATCCCTGACATACACTGCCGCCCTCACTCACACACTACAACCTTCACACACACACTGCACCCCTTACACATAGCACCACTCACACACACCACTGCTCCTATGCCCTACTACAGCCCCATTTCCCAGCAGATCTCAGGTAAGTTGTCAAACTGTTTTAAACGGTTTGACTACTTACTGTGGGAGGGGGTCCCGGCACTATTGACACCATAACCACTACACTGAGCTGTAGTGGTTATTGTGTCTGGATTATTTCTTTAAATAATCTACAAGTGCCCCTCCCGAGATCAGGCTCTGGATCCGCCACTGCACAGAGGCTGGGTGCAAAAGCGGAGCGGCCGTCCCCTAGTGCTCATCGGCATGCACCAGCGTTTGTGCGGCCACATACTAGGACCCTGATGCACCTTCAGTAAAAAGACTAAGCCATCACCAGACTGATCCGCAACTTGGAACAGGATGTGACATTCACTGTAGCGGCTGTGCGCGCTTTTGGCGTTGTCACCCTGCTGCTGCTCGTCTGTCTGCGCTGCAGTGTGACTTCGGCCTTCCCGCTTACCGCCTCACGAGACAGTGCGAGCAGCAGCAGTCAATAGTGAAGTTTCAGCTACAGCACGCACGGGTCAGTGGCTCTGCACCAGACTTCCCTCCAATTGATCAGAGTTAAAGGATTTCAAGTGGACTCATTACAATTACAGGGCCTCTAAAGAGTCCTGTATTGTTATTTGTCGTCACTACCTTCCCGCGTTGGGAGTAGGTCATTTGCGCGCCTGCTGCCTTCCTTGCATGTGGTAGCCGTTTCTCAGGGTCCCTGTACAGAATGGAACCCTGATTCCCCATTACCCGTGGTCACCATGGTAGGCGCAGAAAGTTGATATGGATGACATCCGCATGCAAAGTCGCTGCCACGGGGATGTGCGATTGGCCCGAGGTTCTCTAGAGTCAACAAAGTGCCTGCGCAACTATAATGTCAACAGCTACTCTGCAGTTAGAAAATATATATATATATATATATATATATATATATATATATAAAAACAGTGTTTGCTACCTCATCCTCCTCCTCCACCACTCCTTTCACCTACACCGCCACGGTCACCGCCTCCTCAACCTATGGGTCACTTAGTATAAACTAGGTACACATTAGCAGAGGCATGTGAAGGCCTTTTCTCCATGCATAAGGACTGCAAGGAATGCACCGCAAGCCGCAAATGTTTCTTTTTTTGTATGTCCCAATATTTTGTGGGCTACCAAAATAAAATAAAAAAATATATATATAAAAACAGTGTTGGCTACCTCATCCTCCTTCTCCACCGCCCCTTTCACCTACACCGCCACGGTCACCGCCTCCTCATCCTATGGGTCACTTAGTATAAACTAGGTACACATTAGCAGAGGCATGTGAAGGCCTTTTCTCCATGCATAAGGACTGCAAGAAATGCACCGCAGGCCGCAAATGTTTCTTTTTTTGTATGTCCCAATATTCTGTGGGCTACCAAAATAAAAAAAAATATATATATATATAAAAACAGTGTTGGCTACCTCATCCACCTTCTCCACCGCTGCTTCCACCTACACCGCCATGGTCACCGCCTCCTCAACCTATGGGTCACTTAGTATAAACTAGGTACACATTAGCAGAGGCTTGTGAAGGCCTTTTCTCCATGCATCAGGAGTTGAGCATTTCTCCATGCATCAGGACTGCAAGAAATGCACCACAGGCCGCAAATGTTTCTTTTTTTGTATGTCCCAATAATTTGTGGGCAACCTCAATTAAAATAAAAAATATATATAAAAAAAACAGTGTTGGCTACCTCCTCCTCCTCCTCCACCGCTGCTTCCACCTACACCCCCACAGTCACCGCCTCCTCAACCTATGGGTCACTTAGTATAAACTAGGTACACTATACACTATTGTGAAGGCCTTTTCTCCATGCATCAGGAATTGAGCTCAGTTTGAACAATGAAAGAGAATACCCTGCACTCCAACCCTCTCTCAAATGGATAATTCTGTTGATCCTCCTGACAGCCATGCTTTAGATTTTGATTTATGTTCTTCCAGAGCTAAAATCAAAGATTCCATCTAGTGCTATTTTATGGCTCAGCTGTATTTTTTATTTTTATGTTATTTTAAGTGATTTCCCTATCCACAATTGTTTGCAGGGCACTTGTCCTACTCTCTTTCCAGGAGTTTTTTAGAGGCATTTTTGTGTCCAAAAGTTCGGGTCCCCATTGACTTCAATCGGGTTCGGGGTCAAGTTCGGGGTCAAGTTCGAGCCCGAACCCGGACTTTTTTTCAAAGTTCGGCCGAACCCGCCTGACCCGAACATCCAGGTGTCCGCTCAACTCTAGCAACAAGTAGCAAAGGATGTGGTGGATTTGTTACATTAATTTCAAAAACTACAGTGAACAATATCATCTGTGTAATTTCAGCACTTTTGAAAAAAGGTATTGCCCAAGAGATCAGAGATGCTGGCATGTTCTCAATACACCTAGATACAGCACAGGATATAAATGTCTCATACCAGTGTTTTATAATAATTTGGTATGTCACAGATGTGGTCCATGAATGTCTGGTTGCTGTGGTAAATTGCACATCCATGACAGATAAGGCTTTGTGTGAACTGGTTTGCAATGTATTGGAATTCATGGAAATTGATATTACAAACTGTGTTGGGAACTCAAAATATGGAACTTCTAATATGCAGGATCAGTACTTATTATTCAGCACATGGCTGAGTAATAAAGCACCTGGCCAGATTCATGTGTGGTGCTATGCACATGTACTAAATCTGGTGATGATGGATGTCACAAAAATATCTGTTCATGCAATATTGTTGTTCGGCTTGTTAAACTCCTGTGCTGTATTTATCTGTGAATCCTAACTCCGGATGAATGTATGGCATGAAAAGTCTCAGGAAGAAAGATTTCGATCTCTTTCTGTGATTGAAGAAACAAGATCGTGGTCCAGAGATGCAGCACTTACAAAGGTGTTTGGTTCATTTAATGATCCAAGTCAAGCCTTGTATGTAGATTTGATCTAGACCATGGCAGAGATATCATGTTCTGATCATTTTAATGCTGACATAAGATACAAGGCTGGAACTTACTTAGAATCCCTCAAAAAATTCCACACAGTTATAATGGCACAGCTGTACTTATTTGTTTTCAAGAATACCACTCCACTATCCATGTACCTGCAAACACAAGGTATGGATGTACTGCAGGTATGCCGAATGGTGACAGAAATGGTAAACAACTTGCAAGCACACGATTGTGATTCCCAAATTATTTTAGATGCTGCAAAGAAGTTTGCAGTCTGGGCAAACAGCAAGTTGGATACAACTGATTGCAAAGTTTTGATTGAGGAAGACTTTCCATTACCTCGAAGAATACAACGTAAGAAAAGAAGGGCTGGTGAGCTTGCAGTAGACGACGAACCAATTCTGTTAGCAAGTGATCAGTTCCGGGTGGAGGTGTACAATGTGACCTTAGACAAGATCATTAATAGCCTGCATAGCCGATTTGCAATACATGGTCAGTTATTTGCAGATTTGGCATGTTTAGATCCCCAAAATGTTGAAGATATTTTAGTAGACCTTCCCAACAGAGCATTAGAACGACTTTGTAGACTTGTAATTAAATTTGACTCCAATGCAACTAAAGAGAAACTGCAAAGTGAGCTACTTGATTTTGCATCAAAGTGGCAAAGATTGAAAATGTCACTTGATGAAGAATATACTGATGCTAACAATGAAGGTCAAGATGAAGACACCATCCATTCTCATCTTATCTCTGAAACTGAGGAACAGTCATACTCAAATGTTGGTGATAAAAGTGGAAAGTGCAAGACTTGTAAGAGCTGTATAGCCTGCTGCTACAATGTACAGTCTAACGTATAGTTCACTTTTTAATGCATACAAATTGATACTGACACTTTCCTCTTCTCAAGTAGCATGTGAGAGGTCATTTTCAAATGCAAATGCATCTTGAACAGACTGAGAAATTCCCTCTCTCAAACACATTTGGAGGCCCTTATGCCTATGTCCTTGGAGAAAGAGGCCTTGATTGGACTAAGCAATGAAACCGTCATTGATGTTTTGGCCTTGAAAAGTAGCTTGCTGCAAGGGATGTTGCTTACATAACATTACAAGCATGCCAGTAAATTACAGTGTTGGTTAATATTTCTTTTTCATTCTTTAATAAGTTGTTACATATTTTTTCCTCTAAAACTTTAGAAAACAGTTAATACATTGCAACCTCCTAAAGCAGTGCTGTCCAACATGCGCCCTCCCCAGTTGTTACTGAACTACAACTCCCATGATTTCCTGGCTATCTATTTTATTAATAGAATCATGGTAGTTGTAGTTCAGCAACATCTGGGGGGCCGCAGGTTAGACAGGTCTATCCTAAAGGTTAATGAGCCCTTTTTTTATCTATGGTTAAACTAATTTACTTGTTTTAAAGCACTTTTTTGAGTAATGTTTGTACACTACATTTTGAAAACTGTTGGGTTGCTTGCCATGATACTGGTACAATTTTCCTTTTCTAAAATTGGACTAGAAAGCTAGTTAGCAATATGTTTCACGGTATTTAAACTTTATTAAATTCCAAAGGTTTTTGCACATTTTGTACTGTTACAGAATTAACAGCAAGTTTATAACTGTTACAATATTTAATTACTGTCTAGTAAAACATTTCCACTTTTTGTTACCTCTAAAAGTTTATTTGCATTTACTACTGTTTTGTGTGTTTGAGTAATTGATATATGTTAAGTTAATAAAGTTTTGGAAACTATTTGTGTTTTCTATACTTTAAAGTAAAGCTCTTACTCTTACTTATTCTTTATTTGGACAATCTCGATGGGACAGACACAATTGCATGGGATAATGGTCTACTATGATATTTGGAACAGTGAGGGTTGTACATAAAGAGCTATTGTGGGGCAAAGTTCTAAATGTAGTCTAATCACCCTAGCAATAAATGGTCTACTATTGATGATTGCTCCATGTTTACACTTTTTTTGCTCTTTATATATAAGGCCTTGTGTGCTTTTATATATGTATTATCTATAAATAATTCACTCTTCAAATGTGCTTTAAAATGCATGATTTTACCTTTTGTGAACAAGAAAATGACGTGCTGGTGTTATGACGCAATGCTATGGGGCTGGTATGTAATTTTTTCCAGGGTTCGTTTTCATACCCAGTCTGGCCCTTTTCCTACATAAATGGGTTCACGCCCTTCTCTGCCCTTTGACCGTTGATTCATCTTCTCCCAATGCTCTTCCTATAATGCAATTTGATAATTAACACGAAGAAACCGGGAATATTTTACAGATTGACAAAACGATAAACCGACGCTCAAAGTGACCACTGGCACTAGTATTGGAGGCGGCGGCCATGCACGTCACAACAAAGATGTGGGGTAATAGGTAATTAGGCCACAAAACACATGAAAGAGCAGGTAAGCTGCGATCAGATCGCGGTCGGTAAAATAGAGACCCAGAGGTAGGGAAACTAACAGGACACACACTTAACATATAGCCAAAGGCCAATATAATCAGAATTGACTCACCTGGGAGGCAAGCAGCAAAGAAAGAGGAGTTAAAAGGAGTCTCACAGCCATATATTACTGTCCAGATGTCTTCTGATTAGTTGATTTTATTCAATTGTTTAACTGTTTCTTTGCTGCTGGGAGGATTCAGTAAAGAAAGTAAAGCAAATATGAAGCCCCCTGTCTTACCATGAATTGAAATGTTCCTGCTTACATTTATTGTTTTGATGTTTTCACCAATAAATTTACAGACTTTACTATTAACATGACGTAAAGTTATGATTTTATTAACAACACGGAGGCAAGTATTATGCTGCACCCTTTCTTTATTTCCCTCGGCAGCAAAGAAAAAATATAACTTTCAAATGGCATGATAACAATAAATAGCATGAGAGGTATATCCTCCTAGCAACAGGAACAGCCAATCAGCTTCCGCTCTCCAGTATAATAGGCGATGATGCGTAATCTACTTCCTCTTTCTTGCGATCCCGGACAAGGACAAACGTGACACAGAACAGGGGAACACCAACAAGAAGAGTATGCCAGTAAAGGTGCAAAGTCAAATCAAGCGGGAAGAGAGAGAGAAATATGTTAATATCCAAGTACAAAACTGGATAAATGCATAAATCATACTATCTGTCACCAATTATAAATGTACGATATTAATTAGGAGTAGTCTCAACTGAACTGTAGACACTTCGATTAGTTATGGATAATACTATACTCTAAGACTTAACGTGAAGTCAACTTACCCAAATCCACTCAATCCTCGGATGGGAGGGAGGGATAATACTCGCCTCCATGTCGTTAATAAAATTATGACTTTCCTCATGTTAATAGTAAAATCTGTGAATTTTTTATTAAGACATGGAGGTGAGTTTTATGCTGGTTTAAAGCTGGGAAACTACAATCCCCGCAAAGTGTTGAATTGGTCTAAAATAAAAGTCACGGAAGGTCGACTCATAAGACCAGTCAGCCGCTTTCAAAGTGTCCACTAGGCGGCAACCAATCGAGGAGCCATCGCCCCTCAAACCAAGAGAGGTGAAAATAGTGAAGTATTAATACCAACCAGAGACATATTCCATTTGACCCTACGAGCCAGGGTAGGAGTAGACACCGGCAGATGCGGTTTCTGGAAGGAAATTAAGATTTCTTGTTTCGATCAGTTCCGTAGTTAAGAAGTGCGAAGTTCATATGTTTGCAGGCATGCGACCGGGCTTAAGAGTGGTCTGTCAGGAAAGGATGGATACAAAACTTTCTTCGAGGAAGTTTTAGTTCTTCGAGATATATTGAAGTGGACACCTTCCGGAGTATATGAGCGAGCATATTGCAGTATAAAACAGAGAAGCATGACTAGTTTCACTGCTAGTTGTTTCAGAGATAGTGAGGCACTAGTCAGCCAGGATTCAAAGACGTTGAGGATGATAGAAACGTCCCATAAAACTGAATAACGCAGTAAAGGAGAACGAGCAAATCTTATTCCGTGGAGGAGCCTACACACCATAGGGTGGCGACCTACCGGGGTTCCATCCAAACCTTGGTGTCCAGCAGAGAGAACGATATAGGTTCACTGTGCGATAGGCCTTACCATCATCGAAGAGTGAGGTGAGGAATTGGAGGATCGAAGTCAGAGGAGCTGATACAGGATTCATGTTATGTTCCAGGCACCAACCATGCCATCTGCTCCAAGTAGACTTATAAGCCTGTCTCGTGCTGGGTGCCCATGCGCCATTGAGAAGACTGATTCCAAAACTCCCTCGATTGACCAAGGTCCCCTGAAATCAGACACACCATGAGATATAGAAGGTCTGGGAGAACCAGGGGATGGGACATTCCGTCTGGATCTTGAAGGAGGCAGTCGGGTGATGGAAGAAGACATGGTAAGTCGATAGCCATCTCTAGAAGAGGAAGCCAAGGTTGAGACAATCACAAAGGCATCACAATCACCAAAGTCCCAGACTGGCTTCGTAGTTGCAGTAGGCAATGGGGAATCAATGCAAAGGGAGGAAATGCATAGTTCCTTGTGGATGACCAATCTTGGGTGAAAGCATCCATTGCTATTGTTGTTGGGTCTGGTCTCCAACTGAAGAACCTGGGAAGCTGTGTGTTCAAGCGGGAAGCGAAAAGGTCTATGTCCAATGGACCCAATAAATGGTGGATATACTGGAAAACTCTTGAAACAAGATGCCAATCTCTAGAATCCCTGAGGTGTTGTGAATACCAATCAGCAGTGGTGTTGGAGAGACTGGGGATATATTCCACGGTAACCACCCCCCATGCCAGGCAGAACTGCCAAAAATCACGTGCCAGGTTCGCCAGGACAGCTGATATATTGTCCATCTTCAGGAGAATAGAGCACTGGGCTTGAGTTGAGGAGAAGCTGTGGATAGCGAATGAGTCTGTCAAGAGTTCCAGACAGTTGATATGGAGAGTCGATTCGTAATCGGACCATCTGCCACCAGTAGAGACATTTCCACAACGAGCACCCCAACCATGTAAGCTTGCGTCAGGCACTATTACCAAGTCTGGTGCTGCGCCAAAGATGGCGCAATAATTCAATGCTTCCATGTGAAGAAGCCACCATTTCAGCTCATCTTTCTCTTCTGAGTCCAGAATGACCATATTTGTGTAGGATGCGCCTTCCCCCAGATGGGAAGTCTGTAGGTGTTGTAGGGCTCAATAGTGAAGAGGGCCCGGAAAAATGACTTGTATGGAAGTCACCAGGAGACTGATCATTCTCGTCAATTGTTTGAGAGTAAGTTGAGGAGCTGCCATTGTGCACCTGATTTCCTTCTTGATATTGGACAGTTTGTACATCAGATGATGAAGGGTCTGAAGAGTAGAATCTACGATCAGACCCAGAAATTCTATGCGTTGTGTAGGAGTCACAATGGATTTTTCCCGATTGATTAAGAAGACAAGATTCTGTAGTAGAGTCAAAGTCATAAGTGGCTCAAGTGGGTGTGGTAAACCAATTATCTCCAGGTACAGAGAATATCTCCATTTACAACAACAGTAAAAATACATAAAAATACATAATACCTATTATACTGAACAGAACCCCCACATTCAACCTATCCCCAGATAGCTTGGATCTGAGCGCTCAATATATCCAAACAGTGCTCAGATCCCACGAACAGAATAAAATCACCATGGGGTTAAAGTTTAGCAAGGGCTGATGAGAGATGGAGGAGGGACAAAGCAGCCAGTTTAAACTGGTCTGGCAGTGTCCCTGCTGGAAAACAATGGACAGGAAAAGGGGGAGGGGAAGAGGCACATTCTCCCATGGAATCAAAGGAGCAGAAACAGTGCAATAAAATCCAATATGTCCAAATAACGTTTTTAA